GAAGAGAGGGAGAAGGGAAATGATACTAAAACTTAACTTACATAACATAATGTAACAATAACTTAAAAATAACTTAGAAAATATAAAAAAATTAGTGTTGTTTTATATATATTTTTAAAAATTTTTATTCACTGCATTTTGCTTTCTTTCCTTCATTTCTACCAGCACTTTCACTGGATAGAGGTCGCTTGGTAAAATATCTATCCAAAGAGGTTTGGCTTTACCTACTTTTTAAAATGTTTCTAAAATGACTTAGGCAAATGTCATTACTCCGAGCAGCAATACGGCCAGTGTGAACCTTTTTGGGATGTTTCTTTTCAATAAAATCAGTCACTTTCTGATAATACCTCAAGATTTCCTTTATCAAGCAAGATCCTTCCATGCAAAGCAAACACGCGGACTGAGACCAATGAACAGAATGAACATGTGATCAAGGCGGTGGCGCTGCAAACTAATGTAACGTTGTATGGTGAGTTTCGTTCGTACCATGGAGCAAAAATATGTTCGAATTTCATGTCATATCCTGAAGTGTTCTTATCCTGAGGTAGTACTGTATATTGTTTATAGATATTGTTGTAAAAACTATAAATTTGCAATTTTTCTGACAATAAATCTATATAGAATTATTGATTTTAGATATTAACTCAGTGTTTTTCAACCTTTTTCATTGAGTGGCACCCCTGATTGAAAAATAAAAAATCGTGACACCCTTGACCAGCGGTGGATCTAGAATCTGAATAAGGGGAGGCTAATGGGCCAGATGAATTTTTTGTGAAAACGAATATTAAGCACAATGCTGGGGTGGGGCCTGGGGGGAGTCCCCTCCCCAGGAAGAAAAATTCTAAAAATTGACAGTTTGAAGTAGCTTTTTATGCAAAAAAAGCATTTCTATGTGTTCAAAATCAAAATTTAAGTCCATTGAATTTTGTCAAAATACCTACATGTAAAATAATAGTATCGCTATTGTTTTTTAAATCTAGTTTTATTATCAAACTAGCTGCAAGGACCCGCTTCACTGGGTTTTTATTTGTTCGTACATTTGTATGTAATATAGTTTTTTTTTATATATATAAAAGACTGTTTTTCTAAGTAATCTAGAATCTAGCTGCAAGGACCCGCTTCGCTGGGCAAAAAGTAACGATAGTGAAGATTAAGATAATTACATTATAGCCAATCTTACCTGTTTTCACAGAATGCAAGAATTAGGTCCCCCGTTTCCAGACTAAATAGAGAATTTTTACGTCCAGTCAAATGAACTATTTTCAATTTGATCAATTTTCTGGAACATTTACAATCGTTCTATAATTGAACCAATTCGAATTCGAAAATTTTTAAAATCGAAATAGAAAAGCTTCCACTTTCAACCACTTTCAAGCCCATATCTCCCGCAGCCTTATAGCTATCGAGACGCAACCACCATAATGCACGAATGGAGACTTGGGGCTACNGTTTGGCTTTACCTACTTTTTAAAATGTTTCTAAAATGACTTAGGCAAATGTCATTACTCCGAGCAGCAATACGGCCAGTGTGAACCTTTTTGGGATGTTTCTTTTCAATAAAATCAGTCACTTTCTGATAATACCTCAAGATTTCCTTTATCAAGCAAGATCCTTCCATGCAAAGCAAACACGCGGACTGAGACCAATGAACAGAATGAACATGTGATCAAGGCGGTGGCGCTGCAAACTAATGTAACGTTGTATGGTGAGTTTCGTTCGTACCATGGAGCAAAAATATGTTCGAATTTCATGTCATATCCTGAAGTGTTCTTATCCTGAGGTAGTACTGTATATTGTTTATAGATATTGTTGTAAAAACTATAAATTTGCAATTTTTCTGACAATAAATCTATATAGAATTATTGATTTTAGATATTAACTCAGTGTTTTTCAACCTTTTTCATTGAGTGGCACCCCTGATTGAAAAATAAAAAATCGTGACACCCTTGACCAGCGGTGGATCTAGAATCTGAATAAGGGGAGGCTAATGGGCCAGATGAATTTTTTGTGAAAACGAATATTAAGCACAATGCTGGGGTGGGGCCTGGGGGGAGTCCCCTCCCCAGGAAGAAAAATTCTAAAAATTGACAGTTTGAAGTAGCTTTTTATGCAAAAAAAGCATTTCTATGTGTTCAAAATCAAAATTTAAGTCCATTGAATTTTGTCAAAATACCTACATGTAAAATAATAGCCTCTCTATTGTTTTTTAAATTTAGTTTTATTATCAAACTAGCTGCAAGGACCCGCTTCACTGGGTTTTTATTTGTTCGTACATTTGTATGTAATATAGTTTTTTTTTATATATATAAAAGACTGTTTTTCTAATAGTGAAGATTAAGATAATTACATTATAGCCAATCTTACCCATTTTCACAGAATGCAAGAATTAGGTCCCCCGTTTCCAGACTAAATAGAGAATTTTTACGTCCAGTCAAATGAACTATTTTCAATTTGATCAATTTTCTGGAACATTTACAATCGTTCTATAATTGAACCAATTCGAATTCGAAAATTTTTAAAATCGAAATAGAAAAGCTTCCACTTTCAACCACTTTCAAGCCCATATCTCCCGCAGCCTTATAGCTATCGAGACGCAACCACCATAATGCACGAATGGAGACTTGGGGCTACTACCACATACAAACACCATTCATGTGCGATGTGTAGTTTTGGCTGAAAAGTGAAATATAGGGACACACACATCCATTTATTTATATATATATATATCATCTTTTTATTCATAAACAATTTTTGTTAAGTTTTTTATACTATTTTGATGCATATATAAAATAAATATTTCATTCACTTTTTTCTTATCTTTTTCATATCAATTTAAAAAATTTAAATTAAAAAAATGATTAAAAATTGTTTATTTGTCATTATTGGTTTTGAATACTATGAAAATACTGTAATATGTACCTACTTTGTGACTGAAACCACACGCTTTTCAAAGTACAATGCAAATGCTTTTTAAAGTATATACAAGACACAAGTGTCCATGTTCTTCTTTGCTGGTTGGCCTGGAACTGGGACTGGGAATGTGAAGGCCAAGCAATGTGGTTTGGGCGAACTCGTGACAAGCTGTGTGTACATGTACCGTAGAACATTAACATGCGATTAGTCATTGTTTCTTTGCTTACTAGATATCTCGTAGCAAAATAGAACTGACAATGAGTTATCTTGAACTACACTTAAGTAAATTTCCAAGAAGATGCCTAAAAGCCCTAAACTTTGCGACACCCCAATCGTGGTGCCGTGGTACCCCGGTTGAAAAACACTGTATTAACCAGTTATTAAAAATAGCAAAATAATGAAAGAGGAGGGAATTTAAAAGTTCTGCAGTTTCTTGGAGGATAATCTAAACCAATATTAGCTACTAAGACATTCTAGTTTCACAAATACTAAAAAAAGGAAGTTGAGTAAAGTCAATTATAGAACATTATAGATTTACATAATTTTGAAGATAAATGTGTATAATGAATGTATATAAATGTAATCCTTCATATTGTATTCTAACATATTATTAAAGAAATTATTACATAAAATTTTTTTATTTAGATTCAATAAAAATGTCCTATGTCAGTATTTGTTTTATAAGTAAATTTATCAGGTCAGTCCATAAGTTTGTGAGTATTTTATGATCTTGAGAAAAATCTTGTTTTACTGTTAAAAATGCCAGTCTAATGTGATAATTTTTACACTGAAGTGTTAAATCGGATCTCATTCATATAATACTGTTCAGAATTGGGAACATTTCAGTTGTTTATTTTCGTTAAAATGGAAGTAACAGATGAATGTAAGAGACATGTTTTATACTTTTTATTTTTAAGTGATGAGAATGCTACAAATGCAGCCAAAAAATTAAATACTGTTCATAATCAAACTGTAATTAGTGTAAGGACTGCGCAGAAGTGGTTTGAAAGATTTAGAAATAATGATTTTAGTGTGGAGGATAAGGCTCGTACTGGAAGACCCGTTGACTTTGATGATGATGCTCTCTCTGCACTAGTTGAAGCAGAACCATCTTTAACAGTTGATGAAATTGCGGAACGTTTAAATTCATCCCATGGAACTGTTCATAGACATCTACAACAAATCGGAAAAGTTTCAAAGCTAGGAAAATGGATACCACATGAACTGTCAATAGCTAACTGACAACAACGTCAACTGCTCAACTCCAAAGCTTCAACTGGGAAATTTTACCTCATCCACCATATTTGCCAGATATTGCTCCCAGTGATTATAATCTTTTTCGGAGTTTGCAGAATTTTTTAAAAGGAAAAACTTTTGAGGATGAGAACAATGTAAAAAAGGCTATTTCTGAATATTTTGATTCAAAACCGAAATCATTTTACAAAGACGGGATTAAAAAGCCACCATCAAGATGGCAAGAAATTGTACAAAATAATGGTGAATACATTATAGATTGTAATAAAATTTAATTAAAATTTTTTGTTGCTTTTTTTGTAGATAAAAATGCGCACAAACTTATGGACTGACCTGATAGTTTTATAGATTTGCAAATAAATTTTACTTGTATATTTGATAAAATACTTCTCTACCTCAAAATAGATATTTAATGTTAAAAATTTAAAATTTATTTCATTATTTTTTGGCTTTCATACTAAATACAAAAAGAGTACGTAATAAAAATTGTAGGATTAAGTAAACAAAACAGTCTCAAATTTAGAAGTCAAAATACTTTTGACTTTTACATTTGAACCTGATTTGTTTATTTAATCTTATTGCAACAGTTGCATTATAATCTAGTAAAGAACTTAAAAATTGTATTAATAACTAATATCAGATCTGGTCAATACATTCAAAAAAGTCTGAGAAGGCTCCTTTAAATTACTAAGATAAAGTTATTTTTAATTTTTTACCTGTGTTCTTCTAGCTAACAGTTCTAAGTAATCAATGTCAGCTTGATCAATAATTTTCACAGAATTGTAAAGAAGATAGGAACTTAATAATGTTGCAACAGAAAAAATTTTTGCATCATAATTTTCAGATACATTATTAGCAGCAAATCCTGTAAACAAAATTTTTAAAATTATAATTGGAAGAATTGTTCACTCATTAAATTCAAATAAAAATAATTATGTACTTAAATGCTACATTTTATAAACATCTGTATATAGACAATATCTTAATTCAATGTGATCTAACTTCTGTTACATATTGTTTTCTAAATTTTAAATGATATTTACTGTATATCTATTGTTTTGATAATTATTTATTTTTACTTTTTGTCATAATGCACTTTGTATATAATTTATTTCTTTCCATCATAGATTTCATCAGGAATTTCTTAAAATATCATTCAGTTAAATTTGACTGATTTATTGATAATTATATATTAAAATTTAAAATAACCCTAACATACATACACTTGAAAACCAAATAAATATTTTATACTGAATGATCAAGCAAAAGTAGAACTCACAAGACAGCTTAAGGAGTTTTGCAATGCTATGGGTTACACTAGTGATTCCATGAGCCAGTTATGTTTGTTGCACCATCAGCTCATGGCATTAATAGTATCTAACCTGCAATGCTGTCAAACAGTTTATGTTACTTCTTTTATGTTACCTTTTGTCTGATCAGTTGGTAATAACTCATAAAATTCCAGAATTGTAAATCTAAGTGGAATCTAAGGAATTTGAAATTTCAAATTCAGACTATTCAGAGAGAGAAAAAGTTTTTAATCTATGAAATTACTTTATGCTTTAAAACAGGGGTGTCCAACCTTTTCAGAAAGTGGGCCAAATTTCAGAAATAATATTTCCTGCTGGGCCACGCACCTAATTTTTTAATATTTTTTAATTAAAGTAAACAAGCAAGCATGCTACAGCTTCAACCACATCGTCGCTTTCCAGTAGGTGAGATCGTGGTCAAACACTTGCCTGGTTTAATGTAAAAAAAACACAAAAAATAGGTATATTTATTTTTTTGAAGAAAATAAAACATAACTGAGAATCAAACATATTTATTAGACAATTTAAAAATATTTAAAAGTGAGNAATGGTAAAAAAACACAAAAAATAGGTATATTTATTTTTTTGAAGAAAATAAAACATAACTGAGAATCAAACATATTTATTAGACAATTTAAAAATATTTAAAAGTGAGACATCTGACTTTGTTTTATAGAACTATGTGCGTCAAAATTGATCTCCACTGATGATGTCGCTACACGCAAACAGTTTTCCAAATGAACATCAGTAATTCAATCTCACTTGTGATTTGATGTACTTCATGCAACTAAAAAGCTGTTCACACACACAAGTGTTTCCACATAGAGAAACCATCGACAGAGCATGTTTGTAAAATGCAGGATATTTATCCTTGTCCAAATACGTTTCATAGAACTCTTCCAAACCAACTTGATGAAATTTCTCCAACGTTTCAGGGTTTACTTACTTATAGAATTGATATGGTAGACAGGCTACTTGGTTAAAATAGTTTGAACTGTAATTATAAATATGTTAAATATGTATTTTAATGTTGATTGCAAAATCTCCGCAGATGCATAATCTCTCCAGATAATAAAACGAAACTACAGAATAACACGGAACTTTGTCAAGCTGGACTGAAAGTAGTTATGAGTATGAGCCCAATAGCATTGTGAGCTTCCCGAAGATGCTGAAGACTACAGAACATATGTAGCTGAAGTTGAAGTCTCATATTAAATTTTATCAACACCTAGCATCGGACAAAAAACTAAGTAACCTTGACTGTCAAATAATGGTGAAGCGGGATATTTGAAATAGCTAAAAATCTATGAATTTTTCCAAAACTGAGAGATATTTCAAATTTCTCTTAGCTATAATTTAAAAATACATGATACGAATAATATAGTTACAATTTTACATTAAAATTACATTAATTATTTTTAAATTTAAAAATCTACACACAAAAGTAATTTACCTTCAGTATCCAGAAATACCACCGACAGTCTTTCACCATTTGTTCTTCTCATAAGCCACGGCTAAAAATGTACATTTTTTAAAACGTTAAAATATTTTCCAAATCTAAAATTATTATTAAATAATATAATTGAATTTTTATATCATTCTAATATATAACTTGAGTTGATATAAAAATTTAGAAAAAACATTTCAGATAAAACCATTATTAATTTCTAAGATTAATGAATACTCTGATTTCTGATTTAACTTATTAAAATAATTATTATTTAACATAAGATATTAGGAAATAAATTGTATTCTTAATGAATTATGTTAATTTATCTATATGGTAGAATTTAAACTGAGATATGTTAAATAATAAAATAATAATGTTAAAGTTAAATTTATATAATAAAATTCATTAATTAAATTTTTACATAAATAATTATTTAGCATATATTTCATTATACTCTATATTCATGTACATTAAGCATAAATTATACTTCAAAATAATTAATATTCATGCTTATAAGTGATTACTATTAAAATATGCAGCAAAAATGTAAATAAATGTAATAACAGTAATCAATATTTTAAAATTTCATTCATGAAAAATATTTTTTGTTAGTGTAATTTTACAGATACCAATGTAAAACAGTGAATTTGAAATAATTCTATATTTAAATTAAAATGTTTGAAATAACTTTTGTCACTAAAACTTTATAATTTATCTAATAAAATGATTTAGATAAACTAATTTAAAGAACAGATAAGCATTAAGCACCAATTGACAGTCCATTGAGATTAAAACTACATTTACAAGAGGGAAGCTAATCTCATTCAGAAATAATTATATATAAAATTAGAGTTTAACTACTACATTATTCACAATAATCACAGTAAACTTAGTTAAATCATTANACATAGAGAAACCATCGACAGAGCATGTTTGTAAAATGCAGGATATTTATCCTTGTCCAAATACGTTTCATAGAACTCTTCCAAACCAACTTGATGAAATTTCTCCAACGTTTCAGGGTTTACTTACTTATAGAATTGATATGGTAGACAGGCTACTTGGTTAAAATAGTTTGAACTGTAATTATAAATATGTTAAATATGTATTTTAATGTTGATTGCAAAATCTCCGCAGATGCATAATCTCTCCAGATAATAAAACGAAACTACAGAATAACACGGAACTTTGTCAAGCTGGACTGAAAGTAGTTATGAGTATGAGCCCAATAGCATTGTGAGCTTCCCGAAGATGCTGAAGACTACAGAACATATGTAGCTGAAGTTGAAGTCTCATATTAAATTTTATCAACACCTAGCATCGGACAAAAAACTAAGTAACCTTGACTGTCAAATAATGGTGAAGCGGGATATTTGAAATAGCTAAAAATCTATGAATTTTTCCAAAACTGAGAGATATTTCAAATTTCTCTTAGCTATAATTTAAAAATACATGATACGAATAATATAGTTACAATTTTACATTAAAATTACATTAATTATTTTTAAATTTAAAAATCTACACACAAAAGTAATTTACCTTCAGTATCCAGAAATACCACCGACAGTCTTTCACCATTTGTTCTTCTCATAAGCCACGGCTAAAAATGTACATTTTTTAAAACGTTAAAATATTTTCCAAATCTAAAATTATTATTAAATAATATAATTGAATTTTTATATCATTCTAATATATAACTTGAGTTGATATAAAAATTTAGAAAAAACATTTCAGATAAAACCATTATTAATTTCTAAGATTAATGAATACTCTGATTTCTGATTTAACTTATTAAAATAATTATTATTTAACATAAGATATTAGGAAATAAATTGTATTCTTAATGAATTATGTTAATTTATCTATATGGTAGAATTTAAACTGAGATATGTTAAATAATAAAATAATAATGTTAAAGTTAAATTTATATAATAAAATTCATTAATTAAATTTTTACATAAATAATTATTTAGCATATATTTCATTATACTCTATATTCATGTACATTAAGCATAAATTATACTTCAAAATAATTAATATTCATGCTTATAAGTGATTACTATTAAAATATGCAGCAAAAATGTAAATAAATGTAATATCAGTAATCAATATTTTAAAATTTCATTCATGAAAAATATTTTTTGTTAGTGTAATTTTACAGATACCAATGTAAAACAGTGAATTTGAAATAATTCTATATTTAAATTAAAATGTTTGAAATAACTTTTGTCACTAAAACTTTATAATTTATCTAATAAAATGATTTAGATAAACTAATTTAAAGAACAGATAAGCATTAAGCACCAATTGACAGTCCATTGAGATTAAAACTACATTTACAAGAGGGAAGCTAATCTCATTCAGAAATAATTATATATAAAATTAGAGTTTAACTACTACATTATTCACAATAATCACAGTAAACTTAGTTAAATCATTATTTTCTTTCATATTGTATGGCATGAAATATTTTTTGAATAAAACAGCAATAAACATTAATTAAAATATAAAATGAGTTTAATATGCTTAATCTATAACATTACACACATATTAATTCATAAGTTTGATCAAAAGAATATCTGAATATTTAGAAAGCAAAATTATATTTCTGAAGCAACAAAAGCTTTTATAGTGACCAGTTCTGTTTATGACCTTCATCTAATTGGAAAGTTTAACTGTCTTACAGTGAGTTTAAACTCTGTAGTTAATTAACTTGTAAAATGCAGTACATGGAACAGAAAATAAAAAAAGAATGCAGCATATCAAATGTTTTAAGATTTACAAATAAAGATCAAATGCATATGGCAAAAATGTAGCTAACTATATAACATAAACACACTGAGTAATAAGAGTAAATAAATTCTAAAACACAATTTATTGCTTAAATAATAATTTCCCATGCTCCCAGAAACATTTTTTGTTTACAAATTTGACAAAGTATGGAACTTCAGTATGATTTAATTAATATTCTAGTCTTGTTTCATTCTACTTCACTTCCTAACTGAATAACAAAACAAACTTCATTGGATACTTATTACTTATCAGCTTTAATTAGTTTTGTGTTCTTTAAGCTTGCTCTATAAGAATCTGGGTGTATTGTATATTTTCATGCATTATATATATATATATTTTTTTAAAGTGTCATTTTCTTTATAAATCAAGCTTAAACTCAATTTCTACTGCAAAAAAGTAATTTTAAGATTCCTAAAATGACTGCTGCATTCAAAAATTTAATTTCTACACAGAGCTGTATTTCAATAGTAAGCAAACTGGAATGAAGTTTTACTTTAAAAGAACAATGAAATTACATCAATAAAATGACATATAGAAATAAAAACAGTAAAGAAACTGTAAATTTATATTTTTTATAAATACAACTTTGTAATATTCCTTGATGTAAATTTTAAAATGAATATATTTTTAAAAGCCTTATCATAAAGTAATTAATTATAATAGTATAATAGAATAATTATAATAGTGATTAAGTATCTTTATCCACTTAGCAATGAAGTCAGTTGCTTCAAAACTCTTAAGTCTAAATTTTTTGGATTAAATGGCTAACAAGAACTAATTTTTTTATATAAAGTTGCTTGTGAAATATTCTAAATTTATATAGTTAATAATATAAATGCATACATATAAAAAATGAAAAAAGTGAAAATCTATGAATTTTTTAGTTGGTAAATTATAAATGTGATAAAATTAATAAACTTAAGGCTATAAATAATATATTGAATTGATTTACAAACTAAAGCAGTTTTAATAATTAATTATAAATATTTTATTACTCTTCCCCACATCCATATTCCCATAGTTTCTGGTTGAACAGAAGGACCTATGCCAAATCCATTTGACTTTCCCATTAGTTGGTTCATTAAAAATGATTTTCCTGAATGAAACTTCCCAACTACTGAAACAATTGCAACAGGTCCTAGTATTTTCTGCAAAAACTAATTAAAATACATTAAATAAATTTTATTTTAATGAACATATTTAAAAATAAATTTTAATATTAAAATTATATTTCAGTTAAAAAATTATTCTTACAGCAACATTTTCTTTAATAATTATTAAATTCTTATGTTGTTTATCTGGCTTAACTAATTGTAGTGGTTTATCAGGAAAAATTGAAATATCTGAATGTTCATAAAGATCACAAGCTGGTTCATTTCCTATAAAAAAAAAATTAATAAAAATTAAAAATTTAATTAAATTAAGAACAAGAAATAAATAAATTTCCAAGATCAAAGCAGGAATTTATAGACTATTAAGATTTTATAAGTAGCTTTATCATATTTCCTCAATTGTAAAAGCTAAATTTTAATATTTCTCAAACTAATATATTCATTGACTCAAGAAGCATATGGCAACAACATGCTGATTCAGATAGATCATTGATGCTATCTAGTATGGAGAAAAAGACAGCTAATACTTCCATAATAAACAAAAGAAGATTGTAAAACACAATCTATGGTACTACACATTTGTCCTTAAAAAATTTGTCAGTGGAACTATGGAAAAGAAAATTATAAGAAAATTGTCAACAAAATGTACGTGAACAATCTTCATTGTATCTATAATGTTCTTACTTCAGTTATATGCATTAATACTATAAATATTAAATGCAACTAAAAGTTGGACTTCTTTGCCATTTAAAATGTCTTTAAAAACATTATATTATGAAAAAGAGGTTATATATGCAGATGAGAAAGACACAATACTGCAGTGTTCATTTATTTTAGCATTTTAGTCAAAATAAAATTTCAGTAATTCTGTGGATAAAGTTTTGTAATTGTAGATAATATTTTTTGCATACTAAATTTTAAATAATATTAAATTTTATACTTAAAAAAAAAAAAAAAACACAGTAAATGGAATTTACATGAAAGACTAAAAAGCAAAAAATAATATCCAAATGAGAAAAAGTTCAACTGTTTTAACTTGATGTATAATTTAAGTATTAAAATCAACCAACTGTAGTAAGATTGACTAAAATAGTGTGCAAATTAATATTTAAACATAGATAAGGAGATAAGGTTTATCATTAGACAGAACAAAATTATACATAATCAAAAAATAAAAACAGAGATTAAGTAAAAATGGGATTGTTTTGATTGAGTATGGTTAATTACACAATAAAATCTTATAAAATTTTTCAGTTTTGATTATATCAGAAATGGTACTTAGTAATCATACCTGAATAATCTCTTATAGTTTTTTAATTTAAAATTTTATATACATATTCATAGTTTAATCATCCCACCATCAGTTAAGTAATATATTGGGTTCTTGAGATGTTTATAAATACTCATAGTTTATTCAGTAATTATAAAAATACCGGATGTTTTTATTTCTTTTAAATTCAGTTTAATATGGTACTGGTCCCTGACAAATTGGGAAAAGATATTCCTAGTCCACCACACCAAGTCTGAGAAGCACCGATCTAGATCATTTGGATTCCACTATGAGTGTCAACTACTAAGCTCATCTTTATATCAGAGTCAATCTATCTCAATCTGTAGCTCTTTGCATTTTGTTATTTTCTCAACTGTTTTTCCTCAACTTGACTAACTCCAGATGTTGTCACATCTAAGATCCATGCCTGTTTCTTCTCAACTGTTAAAATAAAATAAAATTTACCACTTAGAGCACATCCATACATTTCAATTTGCCAAATTCTGAGCAAACATTCGATGAATACTGAGTAGTGTAGATGGTTTACTCACGACAAATGTTTGGTATTTTCAGTTTCCCAATTATTGTTGGTAAATTGTGTCAAATCAAAGAACATAAATATTTGCCTCCATGCATTTGTGTTGTCCATTCACACATTTGTATATTTTCTTGTTTTTTGTCATCAGTATTGATATTTTAATCATTTTTAAACTAGATCTAATTTTTTACTTTTTAATTTAATTAATTATTTTTTTATTTGGTTTGTAGTTTAAATATTTATTTTATTTTTTTATACAGTTTTTTCTGGTCTTTTTTTTGCAAATACAGTTTTGTTGTGTTTTTTTTAAATTCCTTTCTTTTTCACATTCCCATTTTTCTACTTTGGTGAAGTGATTCCATCCACATTTTCTTCTTTTACACTTTTTTTCATTAACAGATATGAACTATTCATAACTATAAAACCAGTAGTACAAATTATTTTTTGAGAATTGTCCATTTTCTAAATCTTAGGCAAAATTCATTGTTCCTGTACAAACCAATGCTTGGCAAATAATCAAATGTGTGTACAGTACATGTATTTATGCCCAACAAGTTACAAACAGTTCAGCAAATAGTGAATGTGTGGAAGCGCCCTTATATAAATTCCAACAACGAGTATTTAATTCTTTCTAAATGCTTGAGATGGTATTAGACAATCAGTACAGAAGACAGGCCCCATCAACTGATACACTAACATTGTTACGGTAGGTGAAGACCATGAGGGTTGTTATGCACAGGCCTTTATCAAGGCTCTTATCTGTTTGAAGAATGATTTATACAAGTATTTAATAAAACAACAGCATTCTTGACTTAAATTGATAGGTCTCTGGTTGCTGGTTGTCGAACAATCAAGTATACAAGAACACAACACAAAATAGAACATATAAAATTTAAAATAGTGAACAAATTTAAATTGTTATATATATTTTGTTGTATTTCCTAGATAATAACCTTATTTTAATAATTTGATTATTTCTATGATTTGATTCAATTTTGATTATTTATTACCAAATAAAAATTCAAACAAACAACATGTTATTCATTTAAAACGACCTTTTCTCTCAAAGATGATTTTAAATTGCAACGTAAAGCAATGTTGCAATTAGTCATTTCTACATGTATTTTGAAAAAATGAAGTAATATCCATAATTTATTGAAAAAAACAAATAGACACGAATTTCATAAAATTTGCATTCCTTAAATATCATTTCTATTTTTGTACCAGCTTTAGTTATTAATCAAGAAATATATATTCTTATATATTCAAAAGAAAACATAAAACTTCTAAATTATTGTCACTTTTCATGAATTTTACCAAAATCATTAACAAAGAATATTATATTTTATGACGATAGCAAAATCTTCATAGAACTGTTTCATTCTTTCAAACTACGTTTTCATTTTAATCTATTTATACATTCTATTCAACTATTATTTAACAAAATACAACTTGTAATTACAAATTCAAAATAATGATTCACAATAAGTAAACTTCTACCTAAATATATAATGAAAAATACATACTTCCATCAGTATATGGACTAGAAACGGCCAGAATTAAAAGCAGGCATTTAAGCATTCTTGAAAGTAAACAAACATTCCTCTTACCGGTCGCGACCATGCTTTTATGTTAAGTGTTGCCAGTTCCATTGATTTTAAAAATGTGGTTTTAATCAATTGAAATATTAAAATATCTGTAAAATGTTAAGAACAATTTTCTAAAATAATCAAAATGTTTTCAGAAATATTAAACTTAACAACACTAATCAAAATTAATTTGAAAAAAAAATTGAAAAGCTAATAAATTCTTAGATTGAAATCCAGTTTTTGATTATAATATTATATAAAGAATATATAGCGAATATTCCTGTGTATAATATGGCACATTAGTAGAAAAAAAGGATTCGAAATTTATCAATGATTAAGATGAAATATTCCATGAAATATTCAATTAAATAGTTACTTTAAAGAAATAAACATTAGCGAGATTGCGGCCGAAGTTTCATCTCTAAAATGTGAACGTCGAGCGCCGCTATCTCGTAAGCGGTGCTCGACGTTCGACGTTCACGTTTAGTGATCAAAACTTCGGCCGCAACTTTGCTATTTTTGAAGAACACCAGTGTGATGGAGTCGGTAAACACAAATAGCACGACTCCGATTCCGACCTTTTATTCCACGATTCCGTTTTTAAGGAATCCTAGTATGATAGGTATACCATTAGGGACGGCCGGAAGGCCGAGCGGTCAAGGTGGCAGCCTACCGCTCTGGGGGATCCGGTTCGAATCCAAACGGGTCAAAACATCCCCAGAAATCTTTCTGGGGTGGTTCGTCCGGATACGTCGGCTCTCACCCCTCACCACCCGGCTGCTTCATTGTGGGCCTGGCCGAACCCATAATGAGCAGCGGAGTAGCGTGGGTATCAGCAGCCCGGGCGGAGGAAAATTTCGCCGTCCCGTTATTTAGGTATCTCAATTTAAAAAAACAAAAAAAGGTATCTCAATTTAAAAAAAAAAATAGGTAACTCAATTTAAATCTAAAATTCAGTTTCGTAACAGAAGAACAAGTAATGAAAATTTCCTTGCCAGTGTAGCCACCTGTTCAAAATAGCTCCATTGAATATTTGAGGTGTATATGAAAACAAATGAATCGTACAAGCAAAAAAAAAAAAAACCAAAAAAGGTCGACAGCTATGCACACGGTGAGTCAATTCCCGGACTATTCCGTGCTCATTTCAATCGGTCCGAATCGTAGGTGCGACGAGACTATGGGATAAAATGGTTCAAATTTTTACAAGATATTATTATTATTTATTGTGAAATTTTGCCGCCTCCTAAAAAGTGCCGCCTGGGGCGGGCCGCCCCTGCCGCCCCACTCCGTTATTCGAGGCACCACTGTATATTGTAAAATTTTAAAATATGAATTTTGGAAAAATATACCAGTCATCTTGAATCGATGCGTGCCATCCTGCCCCAAGAAATTAAACCGGCGAATAATAAGGTGGAAAAATCCTATTACTGTAATTGCATTTTGCAGTTTCCGCTTCCTCTTTTAGTTTGTTGCAATTAGATTTTGATCTCGATTTTACTTTTTATTTTTTTGCTATGTTTGCTGTTTGATTGTTATAAAACCAAATTATGTTATAGAAGCAATAATAAAAAATTATAATAGAAAGGCAGTGAAAAAGTTAATTTTTAAATATGTTGAACTGGATATCTATGAAACCAAGTCATTTAACTACCGATGTTTGTTATTGTTGATGTTAGGCGAAGAATATGGAATTAAGAAGAATCCTGGAACTTAGCAAAACTTACTTCTTGTAAGAAACGAACAATTTTAAGGGAAATTATTAATAAAACAAGCTCTCAAAAATTTTGCTGTAAAACCCGAATATGCAGCAAGCTCGGGAACAGTTTGGAACATAGTTTATGTAGCCAATTATTTCAAATACAATGAAAGAAAGTCGGATAGGTTACAGACAAGCACAAGGCTTCCAGAAATCACATGACCTGGAAGGAACAGTGGAGAAATATGATTGTGATCAGATGAGAAAAAATTCAATTTAGATGGGACAGATGGTTACCAATACTTTTGGCATCATTTAAGAAAGGAGAAGGAATCTACTCCAAACGACGAGTGGGTTGGGGGTGTCGGGATAAAAATCGTCTGGCGCACGGTTTTCCCGCGCTTTTCCAATTGTTCAACGGACGACGGTTGTCGCCATAGAAACGGCGATCAGACCACCTTTTCGACCGCTCATTGGTTGAGAGACATCACACCATCGGTGGACGTCTTGTAGAGCTACGTAATGCTGTGTACATACTTTACTTTCAATATATATGTGTCGTTGGTAAGTTTGCGCTTATATTGGTGATTTGAACTTTACTGGGGGTTTCGTGATGGTTTGGACTGTCTTTGGAAAACGAGTGAATACAAATATTGCCTATCCTGAAAGAAGGCAGAATGCTAAAGGATACATTCAGTAGTTAGAAAAGCATTTATTTTCCTTCAGAGAGAGACTGGAGAGGTCATCAATGACAGTTCCGGCAAGATAATGCTCTCATCCATACCGCCAACATTACCCCTGGAAATGTTGGCGGGAATGTTTTGGGTCATGGATTGGCCAATCATGTCAATGGATTTGAACCCTATAGAGAATGTCTGGGAACTTCCGGTCAGATCAGTCTACGCAAATGGAAAGCAATAACACCACAGACCTGAAGACTGCAATCATTGAGAAATAGGAAGAAATTCCTCAGGGTTTTTTCGAAAATTGATCAAGTCGATGACGGGCAGTTTTTAAAGTAATCGTAAACAAAAGATCATTCTGGTTATTAGCTTTCATAAATAACCTCGGAAATATTTTCTGTCCATTATTCATAAGTGATCTTATAATTATTGAACATTTCAAGAAACTCATTTCTTTAACAAAATTATTCTATTGTTTATATTAGAACTTGATACTTGTATATAAATGTAAAAATAAGTGGAATACATAAAATTAAATCACTTCACCATCTGAAATAACCGAATGTTCTAATCTTTATTGAATGCACTGTACTACAGTCTCATAGAATAATTAATTATAAAAAACTATATCTATAGCAGAAGAACCGGAAATTTCGGAAAATCTAGTGAACTGAAAAATCGGTATAACTAGGAAAACCAGAAACTGGGTTGACTGAGATCCTGTGGATGTGGAGAAAACATTGACTTGTAGCTGGAAACCAGCGAGTCAGAACGAAGGAGCGAAATGGGAAACTGCCAACCGGGATGTCAAGATTCTCTAGTTTCCTCAATTTTTGACTCACAGGACTCCACTTTTTCTCTTGGCTCCGGACCCACCAGTGGCCAAGCGGCTCCGTTCCTTGAACACTGGAAGTTTGGTCGTGGGTTCGCGCCTCGCCAGAACGGGCTGGCCACGTGGAAATTTTCCGAGTTTTCTTCACGTTTGTAACGCCTGAATAGAGGCCAATTACCCTTAAAAAGGCATCCACTAGACAGATCGCCCAAGTGTTGCAAAAGAACATCGTTATAACGTAAAAAAAGGATCCAATGCTACGGTTTTGTCGCAAATGTCGCAAGTCCAAGGTTCGGTGGTGAAATGGGACGAGGCAACAATTATAAAACCAGTGTCTTCCCCCA